CCAAGTTTTCTTATTCAGTGACCCAGAAGTAAAAATTTTGGATAAAATCCTCCAATTTGTACCATTAGCAGGATGAGAGAAATATAAATGAGAAAGCAGATCTGTATTGCAAACAAGTGAATATATATTTGAAATGCAAAATCTTAAATGTAGGATTTCTTCTGTCAAGACAGCTTTCTGGAGTTGTAGAGAAAACACCACTCTCAGAGAACTAAAAAATCCAAAAAGGGGGTGGGGGAGATGCACTTCATAAAGTAAAAATTTGAGGTCATCTCATCAAAAGCTTTCTGGGATGTTTCCAAATCATGGATTGCTTTTACTATTTGAAATCACTTTCAACTGTTCAACATTATCATTGCAATACTCCCAGTGGTTTCAGTGATAGGTTCTGGGCTCAGTAACCAAATGATTTGAGAAACTGGCTCTGCAAACAACATTTGAAGAAAATACTAATTCCAAACTAGTATGGATGCTTATTAGCAGTTCCCTAAGTGAGGCTTTAAGAACAAAAGCACTCACCTGCCACCTGGTTCTTAAATCTGAGCTCACGACAGAGCACTTCTCTGAAGAGCACAAGAACAAACATTTCGTTCACTCAGTGCCTGGGAAAAATCAGATGCTTGAGTTCAAATCATCCCCTCAGGAAGTTCTTTTACTACAGCTGCGTCAGCATCCAACTGCTCTTTGAAAGCAGGGGCTACAAGTGGCTCCCCTTGGAGGTAGAGGGATAACAGGGGAGGTTCAGGTTAGATACAAGGAAGAAGTTCTTTACTGTGAGGGTGGTGAGGCACTGGCACAGGTTGCCCAAGGAAGTGGTAAATGCTCCGTCCCTGGCAGTGTTCAAGGCCACAGAGGACAGAGCCTTGGGTAATATGGTCTCGTGTGAGGTGTCTCTGTCCATGGCAGGGGATTGGAACTGGATGAGCTTAAGGTCCTTTCCAACCCAAACCATTCTGTGATTCTATGAAGTCGTTCAGCACCACAACAGCAAAATTTTAGGACTGGTCTCTTCAATTCTTTAATTACTGCAGCAGAGAAAGCCACACTCAGCATATAGGACCATATATACGTATACGTGATGGTGGGATATCTGGCTGTTATGAGAAGAACTCACCCTTGTATTGGAAACCCTGGTTATGACAGTCCTCAGCAGAGGAAGGCTCACTAAACTGCTGAACATAACACACACCTAGCCAGTGTAAGCAAAAAATAAAAAAGCAATAAGCAAGCAGTCTTGTTATGTGATGCAAGCACATGAGCCATACAGAGCAGGTCTGGAAGAGAAATCAACTGAACAGTTCACATCCCAGCTAATCTCCACTCCTAGTACATATGCAGTACCTTTTTGCCTACAAAGGAGAGCCTGGAACAGGGGCAAGAGAGTGGGGTTCCCTTCTCCACTTCTAATGCTCCATCTAGATCACCTCTGGTGTAAGTGTACTTACACTTTCCATCCAGAGGCCAGAAGGTTGAGAAGGTGTTTGCAAGTTAAAATTCCCTATGCAAACCCAGAAATCTCTCTCACACCATCACAAGGTACTCATAAAATTAATCAAAGAAATACTAAAGAACGACAAAGTCACTTAAGTGGAATTCAAAGTTGCCTGAAAGCTCCTCTTAGAGGACAGGAATTCCACTTAATACACCAAGTAAAGATGATGCTTCTAAGGGTGACAGCTTCAAGGCTGCATAACTGTGTGGTGCAAGAGTCATACATGAAAGCTGTATTTCATTATCTTCTGGTGTTTGCACCTTAGCACCCATATTTGCTGTTTGCAGATATACTAGTTTTACAAGATCTCAAATGTCAAAATGAGCCTTCAGGCATTTTAAAAGGACTAAGCAAGCCACAGGTAAGTTATATGCTAAGTGGTGTTAGCCAGTGAAGGTTAGAGCCCACCATGGGGAAGCACATAAGTTTTTTCTATGGCATTTCTGTAACACGATCTCAGAAAATGCTCCACTTGCAGGATAAAAGCAGCTCTCTCCTGAGGGCTAAGGGAAACAGTTCTCATATACCCAGCCAGCAAGAACCTTAGAAAAGACTGCCCAAGCCAGAATCCACTTCAGGTTCTCTCCATCACACTGGTCTTCCCATTTGGGAAAGATCAACTCTTTTTCCTCTCTAAGTAATCTCTACAAAGCTCCACCACTCACCTTTGTCTGCTCTTTCCTGAGTTGCTTTAATAACGCTGCATCATCCTGGGCCTTTTCTCTCTCTTCTCTGAGAGTTTTCACTACATTGGAAGTCTGAGCAATGCAGTTTTTGATGATTCTCTCCCTGCTGGTATGAGCATCCATCAACTAAGTGGGGAGAGAAAGAAAGTCACAACAACTCGGCAGATAATAAAATTACTCCAATTTACAAGTTAAAAGAAAGACTTTCTAAAGTCAAGGCACTGCTGTGCCTATAGAAAACCCCTGATTCTACGTTAGAAGTAACACTGCTTTTAGTAACAGGTAACAAGTTGATCAAAAGTCAAAGATACACATGAGCAGGAGTCTTGCAAAGGAAGAAGTGGACAGGGCTAATACCATCCACTGAGGCCTGAAGTGCACCTCAAGTATCACTGCTGCAGAACAACAAATTTCCCTACGTGGTTTTAAACTGCAGTAACTGTTACATGCATGCACTTTAGATGCATAGAGAAGCCAAGCATGCCGATTACAGGTATATAAAGCACTGGTGAGGCTGCACCTTGAATCCTGTGTTCAGTTCTGGGCTCCTCACTACAAGAGAGGCATTGAGGTGCTGGAGCGGGGCCAGAGAAGGGCAATAGAGCTGATGCAAGGCCTGGAGCACAAGTGTGATGAGGAACGGCTGAGGGACCTGGGGGGTTTAGTCTGGAAAAGAGAAGACTCAGGGGGAACCTTATTGCTCTCTACAGTTACCTGACAGGAGGATGGAGTGAGGTGGGGTCGGTCTCTTTTCCCAAGGAACAAGTAATAGAACAAGAGGAAACAGCCTCAAGCTGTGCCAGGGGAGGTTTAGACTGGAGATGAGGATCAACTCCTTCCCCAAAGGGTGCTCAGGCATTGGAACAGGCTGTCCAGGGCAGTGCTGGAGTCACCGTCCTTGGAAGTGTTCACACACGGTGTAGACAAGGCCCTCAGTGACACCAGAGGATGGACTAAATGGTGGAATTGGCAGTCCTAGGGTTAGACTTGATGATCTTAAAGGTCTTTTCCAACCTAGTTGATTCTGTGATTCTAATATATCAAGGTAGTGGTTTCAATAGAGACTGGGGATGCTTTACTAGCCTATGCACGTAAAACATCCATAAGAGGACAAAGAGTCAAAGGAGAGCACACTCACAGACTGATACAGCTCTTTACATGTCTGGCTGGCATCAATCTTCCCCACAAAGGAAGCTGTTGGAATCGTAGTGTTTAATTCGTGGATAATTCTGTCATCGATCGTCCTCATCACCCTGAGAAACTCCTGTATTTAAAAAAATAATAATCATATTTGCTCATATACCTGAGAAAAACCTACTACAAAAACCGTCCCTTAGAAAACTAAGTGGATTGCGTACAAACAGCAACAAAAAGCCCTCACCAAACGCACATATGAAGTACGCGCATACAGCATATGCAGCAGTATGTGCTGCAAACCAACTGGTCTCCTCAGCAGCAAAGGCCAGAGGGGAGACAGAGCTGCTGAGCGCCAAGTAGCGAGCAGCCCCCGGTCTCCCTCTGGTAACCCACCCGCAGAGCCGCTGCCCAAGGCCCCATCGCCACCGATCCACGCTTCCAGACGGGAAACTGGGCACAACCTGCACCAAACCTCGAACTAAACAAAGGAAACACCTTCATTAGGATACGGTATTTAAGGAACAGGCCAGCCATCACCGCCGCCGTCCGCCGCCCCGGACACTGCTCGCACCGCACGCGGGACGCTTCGCTCTCCATTAAACAACGTGCGGGCGCGCACGGAGGCTCCACGCCCCGTCCCGTCCCGGGGTCCCCCCTCGGGAGGCGGGTTTCCCTGCCCCGCTCCCTGCTAGAGGGCACCGCTCTCCCGCCGCCGGGGTAACCGGAAGGCCAGGCCGGACCAGGCTGGGCTGGGCCGGGTCCCCCTCTCCGCCGCCGCATCTCGCCCGTCGCGGGGAGTGGTGACCTCGCCGCCCCCCCAGCGGGGTGCGCGTTCCCTCAGGGCCGCACACGGCGTTGCCCGGAGGCGGCGGCAGCGCGGCGATGCAGCGGGAGCGCCCTTGCTCACCGCCAGCACCACCCGCACAGCCCGGCGCGGGTTACCTGGAACTCGGCGAAGTCCTCACAGGTCCCCGCTCCGCCGGGCGCCGCCATACTGGAAACGCCGTCGGCCGCGGCGCCAGCCAATCCAGCGGCGAGGCGGGATGACGCGGGGAGGGGCGTGCCCTGCCGAAGGGAGCTGCCCACGGCCGGGCATCGATAGCGGTGCCGTAGGGCGGCTTCGCGCTGCGGTGCGTTCGCCTTCGCTTCTCCGGTGCCGGCCCAGCAGGGACACTGAGGAGCGCCGGGGCCGCGCCGGTGAGTGGCTGCCCCGCGGGGCTCGGGGGCCGTCAGCGGTGTTATCAGCCCGGGGATGCCGGGCCCTGTGCGGTGGGGAGCGGGGATCGCCCGGGCGGCCCCGGCCCAGTTGCAGGTGGTGCGGCGGGGGAAGAAGCGAAACGAAGGGAAGCTTTGGCGACTGCGTGTGGGGCTGGCAGCCCCCAAACTGACTGAAGAACATGAAAGGAATGGATTTGCACCTTTCCTTTCTTCTCTGGAGAGCTTGGAAAGGGCTTGGTTGGGGCTGTCCGCCTCTAAACGTCAACTTTGCAGGGGTGGAATGTATTGTACATAAAAAATGAAGGGCGGCTCTTTTTCATGGGAGAGGCATTTTCAGCTGCCATAAAGAAGACTAAGTTTCTATGTTTAGAAATGCTCTTTTGTCTTTCAAAGTTGGGGTGGGTTTTGTAGTTCCATTCTTCCATTTAAAAGATAATATTCTTTCTACTATACTGATTTGGCCTCTGCTTTCTCTTCCAGGTGGGGCTGTTGACCTTCTGGGGAGAAATATTCCCTCAATCCTGAGAATGACTAAAGGAATGGATCCAAATATAAGCAGAAGGCTTTGCATTAAACCCCATGAAGAAGGTCAGCATCAGCCAAAAAGTAAGAGTTTTTGGTAATAATCATGCTATGTTTCATGATACAACATACTTAGATATCCAGGCTGCAATCAGGAATTGTACTGGCATAGATGCTAATATCCCTGTTTTTTTTGAGAGGGAATTCTGATCTTTAGACTGAAAAACTTGAGTGTTAAATTTAGCAATAAAACCTTGGGTTTAAACAAAGCCAGGGATCAGTATTTCTGCTTCTGAGAACACAGTTTTTGCTTTGTAGCAGGTCACTAGTATCTTATTTGGTGATCAGTCCTGCATTAAGGCTCTTCCGTTGTGCTGTAGAACAGACTCTTCAACCCTGAGGTAAACTATTAGTGTTCAGGAACATCACATGAACTAAAATACTTCTGCAGTTGTTCGTAGTACAACCAGCTCCTGCTGTTCAAAAAAATTGTGCCTGCCCTGCAGGAGTCAGTCTGAATCATGGGCTTGGCTCATTTGCAAGGGTGGAGCTGGTCAGATAAAGCTCAAGCCATTAAACATTTTTTCCCTATGTATGGGACAGTTCTGATACTCTAATCAGACTTCTTGTAAAACAGGCTCCCTTCAGGGTCTGCTGACGCTGGATAAAAGAAGCATACAGGTCTGAAGCATTTTGCATATTTCTATGTTAAAAACATAATGCAACTGTACTGGGTAAGACCAGAGGTCTCCTCAGCAGTGTGATGTCTCCAGCAGTGGTCAGTAAAGGAGATCACTTGCATTTTTGTGAAGACTATCAGGAACGGTGAGCAATAGCAAGGACCTAAGGAGGACTATTGGAAGAGGGCAGTGTTTCACCCCTGGACTACTGTCCCAGAGGTGGCATTTTTGTGTTTAATGGTCCTTACTGCATTTTTTTTTTCATAAATCTGCCCATTCTCCTTAAGCAAGATGTATTTTTAACATCCACATTCTCTGAGAAGGAATTCCTCAGCTGAACTGTGCTGTAAGAAAACACATCATGTATCTGTTTTTTAAACCCAATGTGTGCTTTTTCCAATGTAAAGTTCCCTTATTCAGTACCCCTTCCAAAAAGGGTCCTGGTTATTATAACTCATGCTGTTAATGTCATTTAAGATTCTGGTGCCCTCTGTTGTGCTGAAAGGAGCTTCAATTACAGCCTGTCCAAGCCAAACAGTCTTGTTCTATGATACAGCTTCTTACATGGTGGCCATTCCCTACCTGTGGTCCTCCCCAGTTTTCTTTGTGCCAGTTCTATTTCAACTGTTTCTGAGATGAGGGATTTGTACTTGACATGCTTTTCAAATGCTGCAGTTGAGGTTTTATACAATGGCATATTACTGCTTTTGGATTTGCCTGTGTTCCTAATCATTGCTAGTAATGCCGTTTCCCTTTCTATTACTGAACACTATGCCAAAAACTCTATGAAACCCTGAGGACTTGCTCCTCAGCAATAATAGTTAGGTTAGAGTCTGTCCTTTGTGTGTCAGCTGGAATTGCTTCCTGTTTATACTCACGGGCTTTCTTTCACTGGCCAGCTCATTGACTCGGGATTCCAAAGCCCTGCAGCTCTCTGCGTGTAACACTCTTCTTTCTGGTTTTGAGTAACTCAGTGCTGTCAGCAAACTGTATCCACCCTACTTCCTAGATAATTTATGAAGCCATGAGGCAGCATGCATCCATTCGGAATACCTCCCATTGTTAAAAAAAAACCCAACCTGTCCATCTTTGCACTTTGTTTGCTAGATTTTAGTATCTTATGCATGGGAACTTTCCCCTAGTATGAGTATTTATATATGGAGTTTGAAAAACTGAGCTGAAAATTACGGGTCTAATCTCTGTTTATGGTTATGTTTGTTTATGCCTCCAGATAAGATAAAATCTGCCTGGAAAAGTTAACATTCTGTGATGTAACAGTGCAGCATATTTGCTTCTCTGTAGCAGTTCCATTTGGTTTATTCCTATTTTTTTAAACTAATATAATGGGAAAACTATCACAGCACCTTCAGAAGCTTAGATGTTGGAGTAGGTTATGCAAATTTAAGGATGCAAATACTGAAGTCTTAGACAAGATCTGGCTTTTCTTACATGGCCTCAGTTTAATCCCTATGTACAAGTTTGTTAATCTGATTCTGATAGACTTCTTGTCCCCTAACCAACTCTAGCAATCACACTTCTGCATTGCTCACCCTAACTGGTTTCATTACAGCTGTGGCAATTCAGCTTCTCTGAGTATTGGTTTTAGTGGTGTTTTGGCTTTGTCTGTGCATTTTGTTAGGGTTCTTTTAGGTCCGTCTACTTCGAGGGTGCCTGGACACAAGCCTACAGACTGGGACAAAAGATTTTTGTTGTGGGCAGGCCATTTCAAAAAAAACAGAGGATATACCAGAGACTGTCTCGTAAGTGCCAGTTTTGAAGCTGTAAAAGAGACATTGTCCATGCAGAAATGTTACTTGAATGCAACTCCACCATAACTTTTTCTTAAATGGTATGGGTTTTCAAAGCTAAAAAAATCTTACACTGCTGTGTTTGGTTTATTGTCTTGTAGATGAGGTGACCTGAGCAATTCTGCATTACTGAGATAATCCACCCCTTTCGATTTCTTTTTTCCTGAAAGCATGACCAGCATTTATCACTTGTTTCACTAGAACATCACAATCAGCAAATTCTTACTCTTCTCTCCCAATCCAAAAAGCTTTTTGCAAATACTAGTGAGGTTTTTCTAGTGTTTTAATTCCTACATCAGTCTCCCCTTGTGCAAAACTTTCATGATATACCTATAAAATAACTGAAACTCATTTAAAATCTTTATTAGTGAACATCTAGAGCGCATGGGCCAGCTTTGTTCACTTGTGGAATTTAAACTAACCAACAGTGGAAAGGCTCCCTAACAAAAAATATGTATAGTCCAAATTTCCCTGTTGCTGTGGAGCTGTGTCAATGCTTTGCCCTGTGTGGAAAGCAGAAAATAAACGTGGATGTTCTAGTTTGCTTACCTGAAGATCAAACTTAACAACAGGCAATTATTAGCTTAAAAAGCATTTCTGGTGGTAGTATAGTTACCTTTTAAAACATGCTTGTAATGCTTTAAATATCTGTATGTATTTAAATTTAAAAGATACAGTAAATCACTATAGCTGTCCTCTAAGGATACTCTGTTTGTATGCACCCTATGGGAACTGAAAATCTACCCATGTGTCTGTTTTTTTGTAAGTGTATCACACTGGACAAATATTGTTAAAAATTAATCCTTCCATTCTGTACTGAGGCACTTTTCTTAAAATTACATTTGAAATACATAGAGGCATAAATTATTACAACTTATGCTATTGCCCATTCATCTGGTTTTGCCCCCCAAAGATTTGTTATGAGAGTTTTTAAGAAAACAGCAGAGTGATTGAAAGTCATTTTCAGTGGTTTCTTGAAAAGACAAACCAAGTTTGGATAAAAGCTGACTATTTTTGCAAGTGCTTAGGGAATTCTTGTTTTCCTTTAGGCAAATAGTTCAGCCAAAGCTGAGGAGGCAACTAAGAACTAGAAAAGCACAAAAGCTTTTTTTCCCATTCTGAACTAAGAGTGGATTGTAAGAGCTTGTGATAGAACTTGGGAGTCTTGCAGGAAATAACTCATTTATTAAACAAATGTTAACCTTAGCCACTGAATTGATTTAAAATGCAAATCAAATTCAGATAGCTACCTTTTTCTCTTGTATATTCTAACACATCTAAGATACTTCAAAAAGTAACTTAAGAAAGCTTTTAAATCCTACTTCTGTGCATTCCAGCTTCATTGCTTCCTCTGCCTGATTTGTTCATGGCAGATTGTTAGCTAAACCAACATGGAAGCTAAATTTAACTCTTAGTTTCATGGTAGATGGGCATGTTCCCTGTCATCAGAAATCTTGTATCAGTACTTTGGAGCAGTGATCACATCATTCTTGCTCTCCTCTTCAAAAACAAGAACAAAACTCTCTTCAGTTCTCAGGTCCTCTGTGATTTACCATGTTGAACTATCATGGATACTTCAGTAGCTTTTTTCCTTCAAGTATAAGGTTCAAAATATGGTAAATTATTCCATATTCACTCATGTTAGTTTTGGTGTATATAGTTACCTAATTTGATGCATTTATTCTTTTATCACATTATGTTGATGCTTTTCTATTCCATAATTTTATAATATGCTAAATTTAATCCATGAGAACATCAGATCTCCTTGAGAAGCGAGTCAACTGCTCTAAATTCTGCTAGGAGAATTAATCATATAAGGTACAGGTCCTTGGTTATTGTGGAGAGCACATCTAAAACCTTTATGCTTCACTGGCCCTTCTTGCATTGGTATTTCTAAGAGGAACTTTAAATTTGACTGAGCCACCATTTGGGTAGAATTATCTTTACAGTTTAACCCAACAAAATAACTGATATTTTTGTTTTAACTCATCACATGTACATTTGAAAGCTTTAATAACAGAAACACTTCTTGTGGAAGGTTTTTGAAAAATAACAGCAAACTAGGCAACAGGTTTTTCCCAAAGTAGTAGGATAGCTACTGGTGTGGCTATTAATCCCCCTGAAATAAAAAGATTTAAAGGAATTCAAAGCCTGCTGTTGGAAGGCTTTCAATCCTCCATGCCTCCTTAGCTTCTCAGGAAAACAGATTACCTTCACACTCTTTAGTCTGGCAGGAGGGAAGTGGTAACTACTGGTCTTTTCCCAAGTCCTAGTCCGAATTCCTCAGGAGCGTTTCATTCAGCAGCCAGTGTGTATCTGTAGTAGTATCAAATCCCATAGTGGAGGAAGCCTTCTTGCTGGAAAACAGACTGCATCATAAATAAAATGATTCTGAAGCTCAGGCTTACTAAGCTGTGATAATGCTTCCCCCTGCCCAAGATGCTCCGACTGCTAGACACTACTTTATTCCTGGTGACAAATGTTTTTTACCCTGCTTCTGCTGCTGAGGGAAAATGCATGTTTTACAATGCTAAATACACCACAGTCCTAATACAGGTGCAGTGTTCCCCAGCTTTGCTGATCCTGGAATGTGGTAGTCAGCGGAGAGGGACCTGACATTAAGAAAAACATCATATTAGTAAAACCATCCCTCTCTCTTTCCTGTCATCTCCATAGTGAATGTGCATACTTAAATACTGCAGCCTTCCTCCTTTTCCAGATCACTTGGCTGCAATGCAAAGCAATATTGTCTCTTAACAAATAACCATTAGCCAAAGGATTTATTTGTGTCTCTGGTAATGAGTGTGTCTGTTCTTTTATTTCTTGAGGATTGATACAATCAGAGCAGCAAAGACCACATGGCGTGTGAAGCTCAGCTATGTGATGATTGCCTTGACAATAGTGAGATGCATAATCATGGTGATTAGAGGAAAGCAGGTAAGCACAATTTTTGGCTGGTGAGCGCAAATCAGTCTTGACATAAACTCCTCAGTTCCTCCTGTGGATTGTTAGCACTGTTTTGGTTTGGGGTTTGTTGGTTTAATTCTATCACTGATCAAAACTATGTCTTCCCAGTTCCCCAGAAGTAACCCTCATTTGCCTATCAAAATGAAAAGGATGCAGCACTCTGAAACGTAACAATGGAAAGGTTTTTTACCCTAAGAGACTGAACACTGACAGTTCCCAGAACATTTTCCTCTTATACTGGGGTAGTATGAATGCAAACACTGGAAAGAGAAGAGGACAGCTGCTCTGGGATCCTTGTTTTCACAGCAGCAGGAATCTATTATGTTTCATTTTTGATTTGTTTCCAGTACCTCTGACTTCTGAAGACCAGAGTATTAAACACTGACCATATATATTTTAGTGCCTTAACAAAAGGCACATTTAGGCACATTTCTTCCTAGAGAAGTAATGGGTTTAAGCCAAAATAGGCTCTTTCTTTTACCCCTTTCCCACCTGGCATTAAAGCTGACAACTGTGCCTTGAAAAGGATAGGCCAGGTATTGTGTGAACTGTTGATTCATGTTTTGTACCTGGGGTCCTTCAGGTAATACCTGCTCTTGCTTTGTCATTATGTTGTAGGCTGTAAAAAGGCATGAAACTCTTACAAGCATAAACTTGGAAAAGAAAGCACAATGGAGAGAAGAAGCTACTCAGAGCACATCTGCTAAACCTTAAAGGAGGAGATGAAGAGACCACGTATTGGAGAAGAAAAGCTGTCCCTCTTGGCACTGGAAGAACATAGTCACATCTTTCATGTATGTTACTTCTGTACTCTCATGTTCAAGAAAATTAATACATTATCCTGTAATCATTAAAACCAGAAATACTTCACTTTTCCTAGCAACCTCCCCTTGCCTCCAAACTCTCTTCTTCATGGTCAGTGGGACAGGACAGGTGAACAAACTGGACAGACAGGTGTTTCCCACATGTGCTATGCACTCTTACCACTTATGAGAAGATAACTGGGACAGAAAAGGATACCCCCTTCGGTTTTGACTTGTGCATCCATACTTGTAAAAATGAAATAACCTTCACTGGGCAGTCATTAACGCTCACTTTCAGGTGCCTTGAGGAAGAATGGTGCTAGATGTATTCTAAGTTGTTACTGGGTGCTTCAGATATTCCATACGTTCCTCTTTGTGCAAGAGAGAACAATTATTTAGAAAGCCCTTGAGTCAAGAATTGCATGACCTGCATCAACATTATCAAAACAATCATAAGTTATTAGAAAGTCTGCTTACCTGCTCTAGGTCCAATATATTCAGGCTGCATTTGTTTAAGTGAAGGATTACTTTTTGTGAAGAACTGCTTCCCTTGATAAAAAGAGGAGGGAGATTGATAGTGAAATGGCATTCCAGAGAACCAGTGTATTACAGATGACAACCTTTTACACCAGAGCTGGTAGTGAGGGAGAATGTCCAAGCAAAGGCAACAGACATAACTATTTTTAGGAATATGAAGCAACAGCTTCAACCAGTGCTATCAGATTTACTGTTCAGAGGCCCGTGAGTATGGGAAAGTCAGGCACTCCTGCTCTCTGCTGCAGAGCAACTTTTTGCCAAACCTTATTTAGATTTATTTGCATTTTTTCCCCTTTAAATCATGATCTCTGCTTTCACAGTAGCCCACTTAAAGATCATCTGCCACAAGTTTTAGAAGCAGCAGACCCTGAAACACCTACAAAGAACAACTCCCAAGAGCCACACACTGTTCATGCTCAACAGCCTGAAACAAATGGAGACATTATTTTTTTTCCTCCTTTCAGTTCATTTGGAGGGAAATGTAGATTGGAAGTGTCAAGACTGCTTTATGTTATTTTCCAGGAGTGCCTGCTAAGTGGCTGTGGGGACCCCAGAAACAGAAGAGGCATTTGTATCAGTCTGACAGATTATTTTTCTCGAAACCTTCTCCTCATCCTGGGTTGTTTGTTTGTTTTTTTAATCTTTTTGTGGTACTACTAAAAATTAGCACTGTTGCTGAATAAATTAAAAGCCCTACAAAAATGCAGGGTAAATCTTGTCTTTACACCTTGAAAAGAGAAGCAATAGTGCATTCCTCCCTAGTACTTTGCCCTTCACTTGGTCTAGAACTAGAAAATACCTGCTGCAGTCCTTTCTATGAACTGCACTTCTGGGTACCACTCACATTGACAAGATGCAACCACTCAAACAAGTTGTGCTGTCATTCCACCACAGAACTTAAAACTTTCAGGTGATGCCACAACGTGGTTCTCTGTAAGGCAGCTGCCTTGAGCAGAGCAGGCTTTCAGAGGTTTGTCTGCTCATTTAGCACTGAATGCAAGTCATACTTAATTCCACTGCAGGTAGGTGAACAGATCTTCCATGAGAGCTCTGGTTCTTTGCCAAACCAGTAGGCACACAGGTGGAAACCAACACCAAAAACTTCCTGGATTGTGTGCCTGTGCTCATATATATATTAAATGACACCAAAAAGCACATGCACTTCAGACAGTATTTCAGGCTACCAAGAGAAACTTGTGATTCATGCTTGATGATGGCAGAGCTTAAAACCATCCATCTCAAAACTATCCATCTCAAAAGCACCTGCCAGTGCACTCTGAGCAGAACTGGCAGGTAACTCATCTACTTTTGGAAACAGAACTATTGGGACTCATCCAGCTGATAAAGTATTTCAAATAAGAATTACGTAAAATGCCTCTTAGAAAGCAACACCTCAAAGCAACAATGGGCACCACGCTTTCATTTTATTAAATTTCTCTAAACTTTATGCTATTTACTCAAAAATTGGAACGCCAGTCCAGTGGTTTGACAAAAGCTTCATGGAGATGTCATATATCCTTCCCTTCTAGCCACTCTGGTATCTCCACCATTTCAGTACTGTAAGGACTGTACATCACTGCATACCTTTGTGTTTTCTTTCAGCTTCCACATAGACTCCAGTCTCAAATAAAAGCCTGAGCCATTGGACTTCGTGCTGTCTCCAGCTCACTCCCAACCACTGCAGTATTTTCTTCACAAATAGCTGGCTACTAGAAAAATGATGTAAATCCTTCTCAGAGAGGCAATGAAAGAAACCACCTCTTTACTAGTGTGATGGCTTCCAAGAAAGCACTTCTAAACACAGACAATGGTTTAAAAACTAGCACACGTTTCTGGCCTATGCAGCCAGTTTAGCTGTCTGGAACACTTCTTAATAAACCGCATATTGCCTGATTTAACTGATAGTTTTAGTCTACACTCTTTTAACAGCGCCTGATGGAGAGGAACATACTAAGCCCTTAAACAGTGTTTCCTTTTCTTTCTCCTCTTTGGCTTGGGAAGAGAAGAACACAAGACCTCCAACAGCTCCCTGGCCTATCCTGCACACATGAAACCACGCTGCCTCCTACTTGCACACAAAATAAAGAACACAGCAGGACCTTCACAAAGTGGAAGCTAGAGATGTTAGAGTTCCCATTTGAGCAGCCAGCACATCCTTTAGGAAAGCAAATACTGGCTTCAATGTTCCTAGCAGGGGACATAACCCTTGTGTCAGTTTAAGAGTGCCTCATTTCTCATCTAAACGGAACTTGCCACCTTTTTACAGTCCTTGCTGTTCCCAATTTCATAGCATCCCTTTTTGACTGACAGCAACAAAGAGTGTTCCTGTAAAGTTTCACCAATGCCATTATAAAGTTAATATAAATTCCCCACTCCTACTAAAGATTTATTTTTGTACCTGTGAGCATTACAGTAGCCACACAGTGACATGTTAGGAAGTAGCATTCCAGCGATGATGTAGAATGATGCTCAGACTTTCAGCAGCACTTCTCCAGAACAGAGTCCTTCACCTGTGGCCTGAATATTATTTATTAGATGGGTAACACAGTACATGTTTGGCTCTATTAAAATGCAACTAGGTAACTTTCCCTTGGCATACCAAGTAATTCTGATGAGTCTGTATCAGCAAGCTACTGTTTCTTTCATCATTCACAAGTCTGCCCTCCCTAGGATGCACAACCTTTGTTAGAAGTGGATTTTGTTTCTTTTCAACCTATTAATAAGGCTAAGTAAAGCAAGGCCAAGATCTGGTTGCTGGAAAATCCTGATAGAAATATACTCAATTAAGCAGCATTTAAAATTCAACTGAGACCTATGAATTAGCCACATTTTAATCCATTTAATGTGTGCCATGTTGATTTTTGTATCGTTTTAGTTTTCAGTCAAAATATTATGCATTACCAGTCAAATGCCTTACACAGTCTAGGTATATATGACAATAAGATTACCTGTGTCAACCAGGCCTGTCACTTCAAACAAACATACCAAGTTTAAAGATTTATACTTATCTGCTCTGAATTCACATATCCACAGCAAAAGTAACAAACACTGGCCAGGCTCCTTACACAGGAAGGCACACCATTCAGCTTCAACGGACTCTCTTTTAATTCACTCATTTAGAGGCAATTGTCATTATTTTCTTGGGGGGCAGGGGAAGAAAACGCCAATGCACCACATTGTTTTCACTAGCCTGGAAAACACTTATATATATATAGATATATAGATATGTGTATATATATACACACACATATGCATGTGTGTACATATATAGGTGTGTGTGTATATATGTATATATACACACTAGTGTATATATACACAGAATATACATATATGAATATACAGAATATATGCACACACACTTTGCTCAGATTTGTTTACAAAATATGTAGCATTTTTATACCATCCAATAAGAGGTACATGATTTTAAACAAATCTTATAGAAATGACATGTTATTGGAAATTTACACGTAAAAAAATCCAGCACAAAAAAATCCAAAAGCTAAAACAAGGTTTTGCTACTAATCAGTGCTTCTATCACCCTTCAAGAAAAGAGAAACACAGTTATTTATATGTGATGTAAAGGCAACATTGAGGGGTTTTCTTGCTCTTTTTTTCCTTTTTTTTTTTTTAAATTAACCACCAAATTTAACCCCCTAAAATTACAAAGAATCAAAGTCCATTTACAGATCAAGTGCAGTAAACTAAATGTTCCTTCAGCACAAAGCAGCACTAGAGAAAGTAAGTGGGAGAGGGAAGGTGGAGGCCAACTGGCTTAGCTAGGGAAGCAGCAGGTGGCTGCTGCAGTAGCCACACAGGTCAGAGTCTCCATCCTGAAGCACAGACAGAACTGAAGACTGTACTTAAATGATGGTCACACAGAGCTGATGTTCAGGCCTTTGCCTAGCTTCTTTCAGCAGTTTGACAAGTGATTTATATGTTTTTATCATTCTGTATCCAATGGGCTGGTTTTGCTTTTGCAGTGACTTGTCACTGAGAGGAGCCAGAAGGAGGATCTTGCAGACAGTTCTGCCACTAACCTCTACCACAGGTACACGACACTGCAGTTGTTAGTGGTGATTTTGAAATGTTTACACTGGACAAATGTGGTTCCAAGCATCCAAAAGGGCTTGAAAGAACACAGCCCGATGCAGGGGGGAGCGGACGGCCTGGACAATCCATTGCATTAACAGAAATGGAACCGCCACTTTCAATCACATGGCATCTCTCCAGTTGCACGCAGATTCTGGTGCCAATCTCAGCTGAAGTCAGTGAGGAGTGGCTGGCCTTCGCATCAGATGTCTGTGATCCAAGCGGGTCGCAGAGCCAAGAACATGCTGCTAGCAGAATGGCAGTCTACAGCTGCAGATGACAGCTGTCATGCAGTCAGCGATGCCTTATAGATGTCACCTGTAGGAACCATGCGTTCCATGCTTATTTATCTCAAGTCCAGTAAACAGCAAGAGGGAAAACTGAAAGGGCCAGGAGGATCCGGCTGTAAGATTATTATCCTTGAGCGTAGTGTCATTTGAGTTGTTAAATAAGGGCGTTGACCAGGAGGATTCTGGTTTTATCAGGTAAGCTGGAGAAGAAGCTCTTGTCTCATGAAACTCTAACGCTCCTTGTGCTAAATTTTACAAATCCAAATTTCTGTGTTCAGAAGGTTATTTTTCAGAAGATAAATCTGTTCAAGTCACACTGTGTAAAAATGTAAAGAGGCAGACAAGAATTTTTCAGCCATAACTATAATACCAAGGACCAGACTCTGGAGCATGAAGTCAGAAAGGGCTCAATTTTTAAGGAAGGCCCAGCTGGATCATACTGTGCCAGCAAGCAAAGGTGGGGGTAGTTTCTCCATTCTAGAAGCTGGTTTGGAAAGTCATTTGGAAAGTCATTTCTGGGGAGGTGGTAAGAGTGACCTATTCACAGACTCTTTTTTTTGTGGATAGAGAGGAGCAACTGGGAAGTCTCCACAGTGGTCTGCAATCCAGCTTGGGAGCTCAGTGTTGAGAAGGGATGGGGCCAGATGTGTTCAGTATTCTTTAAGAACCAGAAAACATGTCCATTGCAGCTTGTTGTTGCAGGGGGTAGAGAACTTACTCCATTATTTGTAACATGTTCTATATGCCAATAACCCCAGCTGGCACATACAGCAAAGTAGATACATTGCATGTGAAGAGATAATGCATCTCTCTCAGCCATCCAAAGAGGCACCCAGGGAAGAACATGGGGAATTAATTCAGCTACGTTCTCAGAAAGTCTGAATGTTTCCCTGGACTGCAGGCACACACTGCAGCAAATAGAAGAAAAAGGCAGCCTTATCTTGGATGCCAGGAGAGTGGGGGCTAGTGGAGGAGGGATTATTTTCCTGTAATAAGAGCAGGGAATATCTCAAAGTATAGAAAGGTGCCTCAACTCCACAAAGGTGACAGTGGAGAGGTTCAGAATCTAGAGGAGAAGGGTGATTCTGGTGACCCCTTGCCAAGGAGGGGGCATCCTGCCACGGAGAGCCAAAAGTTTTCCAGACGAATGTAAGAGCATGTGCACAAGGCAAGCGAATGAGCGCAAACAGGATTATGGAAAACATTGAGAGAATCACTCCACGGGTGGCTTGTGGCTCGACAACAGGACTGGTTAGGTAGAGGAGCACACAGTACAGGGGCACCTCAGAGCTGGAAGCCTTCCATGGGAGCCTCACACTGCTGGAAGATGTACTGTTGCTGGCTGAGATCCACCTGTGGGGCAATGCTACTGTCTTCATCCTCTGTTCCAAAGTAGTGCTCAATCAGATCAAAGGCCTTCTGATAAATCTCTTGATTCTCATGGCTCTGCAGGAATTCTATCTTGTCCAGGCCTGCAAAGAAAAGTATATAAAAGTTACAGCTTGGTGAAAGCACATGACCACAATCATTTTCAGTCGGTTGTGAACATCAAGTTCTATGATAATTCTCTTCCCACCTTCCAGAAGAGCAGGTGCCTCTATGTCCTTACCCAGCTTATACTCTCCACAACCAAAGTAAAACAGGTTGAACTACAAAGTTCCCTGTAACTGTGTGATGTGCTTCATGCTTTGTATCCTTTCACTGAAAAAACAAGTATCAGCAAGACTGAATGAGTAAAGAACAGGGCCTCGCCTCAAAGAAGTTTTCTGAAGAGACCTTTAGAACTATGTTTCCTGAAAGTGTGTTCACAGTGCTTTGGTTACAAGAACCATGACTACAGAATCACATAACTGCAAGTTGGAAGAGACTTCTGGTAATCATCTAGTCCAACCTGCAGTCCAGCCCAGCACTACTACTAACACCAGGTAAAGTCAGCTCTGCCCAGCAAATCTTCAAAGCTTAAAAGGATGGAGATTCCATTATGTAATCTGTACCACAAGTATATATAACGCAGTTAAACTCATGCAACCAGTTTTTGGGTAGACATTAAGCAGATGGGCAAACTCAGGCCTTGTAGTCAGAAACAAATGAAAAGAATGCAGCAAGCTAAACTATCTTTAATACCTAGGAATGATACTATAATGAAATCCAAGTCTTAGCCACTCTAGAAAATCTTTAATATTGGGAATTGCAGCGGCTTTCTTGGCTGCTCCTTTTACTATGTATGAAGATTACAGGAAACAATTGTCTGATACTCTGTAGACATTTCTGTAACACTGACATGAAAAGGGAAGTTAAAACCTAGAAGCAGGCAAGATACAACTTGATACAACTCTGATACAACTGATACAACTCTTCCTTGGAAGTCAAGGTACCCAACCATTTTATGGAACTATGGTTCAAGAAGCCATTTTCAGTGACACTGTCTTCTTCTATACTGCCCTCAATAACCCATTTTTATTTTTCTTAATAAAGGACTTGCCAATCAACACGGAAACTAACCTTAAGAGCAGCAGTACCTCAGGACTGGGATGAAATCATGCTGGTACATGCCAGAACCTCAGTAGAACAAGGGCAAACAGTGAAGCTGGGGCTGCTGCCATAATTTTACAGGGAAAGATTTTAAACCTGAACAATAGACCAGAGCGCCCAAAATTTAATTTGCTATGAAGGGAAGATCTCAGTGCTTGAATGACACCCTGGAGGCTCCCTCAGGGTCAGTAGTAAGAAAAGAAGATCTGCACACACTGCCTCAAATCTACACACAAAGATAATGTACAAATGGAGTACCTTGGCACACATTAATGTTCAGATAATAGCGATGAGGGAAGTAGTGAGAATGGGTCTGCTCAAACTCTTACGGGTTTGTGACCATTGCTTTAACCCTTGACTTCCACTTTAACCCCTGACTTCCCCTAACTATATTTTTCTCATACCATATGCTTCTTCAATAAGAGCACAGTAAGGATTAATGCCAGTGCCACTGCGTTTGGATTCCTGTTCTCCAAGCCTCAGGATGTTCTCCAGCCCATTCAATGCTACTTGCACAATCTTTGAGTCCATTACTGTAAGGAGGTCGCAGAGTGGTTTGATGCATCCCAGTTCGACTAAATACCTGAAGAACACCACATGAAACCAAGTGAATTTTCTGCAAAATTATAATTGGTGTAGCCATTTAAACACTTAAAGGCATGAAGGTCTAAGAACAAAAACAAACATAAAATAGCAACTTGAGAAAGTATAGACATCTATTTGTATCTAGTCAATACACTTTTCTGCTGAAACAAAATAACTTTAAAATACCTTCTCTGTCTCTCTAGGTATAGAGATTAAATATTTTTTTTAACTTATAATAAAAATACAGCTATAGTTTATAGACATTTACTATTGATGTAAACTATATTAATTTAATACATTTACAACTTCATGGGTTTGGTTTATGCAAAATTGCATACAATATAATCATAATATACTAGTGTAAGTTGAGCAGGAAAAAACAATACACAAAATGCCCACAATAGGCCATTCCTCTCCAGACTGTTAATATATTTTTTTACACTTTACAACTACCACTAAGAAATTAGTTTAAAAGTTGCATTTAGTTTTTTTTTCACATAAGAGAAATAGTTCAATTAGTTAAATGAGCATTGCGCTCCCGAAACACTTCTGTGATTTCTCCCTAAAGGAATGAATGTCTCATTCACAACTCAGTACAAAGACCTGGCTCACTGGATACAACACTGAAAGCATACAGAATGGGTTGGGTTTTTTTCCACTTTCTAGGTTGAGTTTGATTTCTTGCACAAACACTAGTTCAGTCAATTGCACTGAAAGATTTGAACTATTACATACTTGATCTGTTCAGCAGAGCCTCCAGATGTTGCATTTGTAATTGCCCAAGCAGCTTCCTTCCTTGTCCGAAACTCAGCCGTTTGCAAAATATTTATAAGAGCTGGGAAGATATGGGCATCTATGACCGTCTGCAAAAAGAAGTAACATCTCATGGTTATAACAAAAATAAGAAATAACTTCCTTGTCCTGAGACAGTCAATGTCTATGCTCAGCACAACACATTAAACAATTAAACGTTTCTTATCAAGTGGCAAAAATCAGTTTTCAGCTTTGCATTCAAAAGCCCAGTTCTGCTGGGGCCTGTGTTTATCCCAGAAGAATTCAAAACACATTCAGACTGAAGTGACTGCCAGATCTAATGTGTTACTTCCCTTATTCTTCCAGATAGTAGAGCATTAAGCTAGCAAGTCAGTAATCCACTAAGATCCCCTAATGACAGAAAAAGACTTCATAAGCCTTTCATACCACATCTCCAGTGGGTGAGACAACAGATCAAAGAGAACAAACTGTAAGGTCTCCTCAAAACAAGCAATAACCAATCTATTTTTTCCTGGTGAAAAGACAATGGATGGTTCAGTAGGATGGTTAACTGCTTAGCTCACCAAACTAATAAAAGTCAAGTGAATATTTAGTCAGCAACTAGTAATGTCCTCTGGAAAAAGCCTTTTGCAATAAGACAAATGAAACTAGTTTAGTTACACAAGTATTGGGACCTAAAGCACATTCATAAGGATCAAAGAAGAGCTTAGAATAACATTTTTAAACTGTTTCACAAACATAAGTCATCATAGAATTGATAAAGGCAAATTCAAAGAAAGCCAAAGAGAAACTTTTCAAGGGACTCCGTAGAAAATTAACAATACATAGCGCAAAAAGCTATAGTTAACTGGCATTGTGGATGGTTACCCAGTGATAAAAAACTCATATTTCTTTTACCCCTCCTGTTTGTCTGGACACCCACACTGCATCTACTGTATAAACACATATTGCCTATCAGTTGTATCCACAGTCCCATGAATGCTCTTTACCACCGAATCTGCGCTTCCAGCACAGGAATCTGGAGCCCTCAAGGAAAACCATTTACACTTCCATCATGCCATGTTATATTAGATTTGTACTTTGCAAAACTTATTTAGCAAAAAGTCCTCAACTGAAACCTTTGAACATGAAAGCTGGAAGTTGTAGGTCATAAACAGAAGCCAGCTATTAAAAAAGACAAAAGATAATAGAAAGTATCTTCAAGAAACAGAATGTATTCCCCTTTCCCAATGTATTTTGATGGGAAAACACAATTTTTAAAACTATACAAAAGCAGCACACTGTAAGGGTGGATGTGGCAGCATCTGCTTCATTAACCTTATCAGCTCAAGGACCTTTTCATCTCAAAGTGAGATAAAAACAACAGGAAAGTAATAAATAAAACACACGGTGACACAAACCTAACAGGCAAGGAATAAGAGAGACAATCACAAAGGAGGAAAGGATACAGTCAGGAATCTGCAGAGACCCAACCTGAACTTCCAAAATTGTAAGACAGGGCCAAGTGGGACTGTGCAAAACTTCATAACAAATCTTTTAACTGTCTCACCACGTAACCTCCCTTGCTAGCCTGTGTAAGAGCGAGGTGCTAACAAATGAGATCAGCATGACTGAATTTGAGCCAGGAATTGAATAAGAAACCCCTGGGTCTGTGGGATCAGCAACTGGAGTGGACGGGGGGTTCTCAGTGTGAGTAGCTGTAGGGGCCATGGAGTAGGGAGAGCATGTTTCTGGGGTGACCAGAAAAAGGTGAATTCAGGGCCAGCAACCAGTGTCAAACCTTGAGGGAAAGGGCCCCTACAACAGGAGCAGGTGAGGGTCCCAGCATCGGCCACGGCAGCAGGATCACAGTCCTTAGGGCCTGTGTGCCTAGAAAGCAGTGGGTGAAGTGAGGATCTTGACTTCTCAGCTTCAGTGGGACTGTAGGTCACAAGACAACGTGCCTAGACACCAGCTCCATGCAAAGCGGGAATTTACATCATCCCCAAGTGTGGTGGTGGGAGTGAAGGATCACAGTGTACATAATTTACTGGCAGACTGGACTAGGTGGCAAGTAGGATTTCCAGGATCCAGGCATGGACTGAGGGTCCATGCCAATAATCAAGGGGTCTGCAAGTGTGGGGCTGCTCAAGATGAATGTGTGCATCCGTTTGCCAGCAAGAATGAAGTTGAACTAACCAGTGAATAGAAGTCAAGTATAACAAGTTAAGAGAGCTCACAATCCAGCCACGGACAACAGATGGGCAGAGAGCCCAGAGTGGTATTCAACAGATCTGTGAACATGTATGTATGCTTGTGGATCTAGAGAGTGAGGGGATGTGTGTTTTCACTAGTGAACTTCAGTCCTTATCAACTAGAGAGGAGAAAGAAGACACCACAGTCTACACTTCGCATGAGTCCAGAGCTGAGGTGGAAGCCCTTATAAGAACAGGGTGTTAAGGGATGTTAAGTATTCTCTGCTGAAAGAGCTTGATACAGATCTACAATAGGATATGCCAGAGCATTAGTATACTACTATTCCAGCTAAGAACAAGTGAAAAATCTCATTATCATATCTTAAATCCTCCCTCCAAAAGAGAACTTTTACATGAGATTCATTTCCTTAAAAAGGGTCTTCTTAAAACCAGCTTCTTTAGTAAGTACTAAAATCAGAGTATGTTACATGATAGCATGGAACTAGGCCAGCATATCTTAGCTGACAGGCAGTAATACACTTTGAGCCTTCTTAATGGCAGAAAAACCTCAGTTACCTTAAAATATTTAAATTTAAGCTTGTAAAGTAGTAGGAGAATTCTAGAACAAAGGGAACTAGTAATGGGAGGGCAGCAACTGGAGAATCTTGAAAGACTTTCATTGTTTTCCTTCTGGCTCAATCAATTTTGAACTCTTTAATTCAATGCAAAGACTGGTGAGTAGAACTTCTCCTCTCAGAGTGGAGAAATGCACATTTGAACCTTTTCAGAAAGAACTGAATCCAGATCTCCCATCTCTTGGGAGAGTGTTCTTATTTCTAATTCCTCTTATTTCTATTTATATCTCTCTCTTATTCTATTGTATGAAAGGCTACAGGCACCTTGTTTGCTTTCTGCTCTACAGTGAAGTTGGCTGTCTTTACCCAAGCAGAACAGATGAAAGCAGCCTTTCATAAGGCGCTTCACTGAAAGAGAGTGGCTCAAGAGAGAAGCAGATTATCAATCACCATACTTTTATGTTTCCTACTGCTTGACATGCAATGTAAGTGTTGTCACCACCTCACCCTAGCGTGAGTCCCAGTTAAAGGGACTTAATTGTCTCTCTGTAGTACAGCAAAGTTTTTCAACTAGCAGGCTGTTAACAGTCAAAACTCTCAGAGCTTTGATGTGTGAAAAAAGAAAACCAATCCAAATAAACCAACTAACCAACCCAAGCCATTAACTAGGTCAGAAAATAGTTTGCTTTAACGTTAGTATCTTCACTAGATTTCGAAAGTCCAGTTAAGCTCAACAAGGGTGGTAACAATAAAGCATTAATTCAGGGAAAGCGCTAGCAGCATCTATTATTTACACTTTATGCCTTGCACCCTTGCCCACAACAGTTACTGTTGACAGCAAACTAGAATGCCTAAGGATTCCTAGCTCTATGATATTTTATGTGGGAGCAAAAGTTATTGTGGAAATAGGCCACGTTTCCCTTCCACTTTCCATCTAAGTGATAAAACAATAAACTACTAAAATAGAATTTTGGGTTTTTTTCCTTGAAGGGAAACAAACCTCAGGCAGAGCAAATGCCTAAAGGACCGAAGCAGGATGAGGTGCTTGTAAATTCTGAGGATTTAGAAAGTGTTGTTACTTTTCTAGCATTATTGTACTGCGTGTGCCTCTCATGTGGAAGTGTGTTGAAGACTTGCATAGCGCATATAAAATGCTCAAGACAAGCACAGCTTTCAAATACACAGTTAAGAGATTTCATTTCAACAAGAACTCTCAAAAGATGTGAAAGATATAGAAAGGAAATGAAAAGAAAAAAAATCAGGTTGTAAACTAAGGACTGATGTACAAACAGATCTCAGTCTGCCACCTCTTCAAATGTTCCACTGTTCCTTGGAAAATGAAAAGTGCCTTGGCCACTCATAAAAACAGAGGGCAACTTCCTCATACATGCCATAAAGCAAAGGATGTTTAAACACAAAAATGCAGCTGATGCATTCTAATGCTCTAAACATGACTGGAATTCTTCCAAGAAGTGTAACAGCAGGCCAAGAGGGTAACCAAAAAGTAAAGAAATTCCAAAACCTACCTAATTTTAGCAGTTTTATGTATGGATTTTTCAATCCAAATTACTCTTGTGAGTGCATGTAAGAACAAAGCATACTAACATCCTCCTTCCAAGAGCAATCTACAGCAGATGCACAAGAAAGTGTAAACTTTATTCATGTTTACTTTTCTTTTTCTCTTTTTTTTATGTATTTACAGTTGCAGCAGTGAGTTCCAGTTAGACTACACCTGGATGAGAAGATATGTGCTTGTATATCCTAATTAAAGGCAGCACCTCTTTAATTTCTTCAATGTCTCTTCCTTCAAGGATTTCGCTCAAAAAATACCCAATCATTCCTTATTCACCTTCTCAGATGCCACTTGTGTTTCTACAGTATTCTGCCACATCTCCCTTCGCTTGTCTCATGGTATACAAAGCTATCCCTCATACAGAGTCCAGCTCATGTTTTATAGTCCCTCCTTACCACTTCACTCCTAGCATATCCTTTGAAGACAGATCTACATACAGAGAAGATTCATTCAAGAACAAGGATTCCCCTTTTGATCTTTTTATCCCTTTCCTGACCATTTCTAATATTCATATTGATTTTAGGCTGCTACTACTAGGCACTGAGATGGTATCTTAACAGCACATTAGAAATCGCTTTGCTGCATAACAGGCAATCCAAAGCCCATCCTTTAATACATTAAAGTAACACTGAAATTTTTGCCCGACTGCATCCATTCCATTGGAACTGGAAGTCCATTGGACTTGCAATTAGGAGTCTTTCAGAAAACTAAAACTGAACTTTCATTGAAATCTGAATTTTCAAATTTAATTTGAAACGGAACTGAAT